GGGGGGTTGAGCCTGTGTGCTATTTTAGTGTCTTATCTCGTTTATTCAGACCGATGTATCATCAAACATGATAGCGTGGAAGTTGATTTCAAACCTGCACTATGAAGGCGAATGTGATAAATTTTCAGTAAACATTTGTTCTCTTTTATGGCCACTATACGTATCAACAACCGGGTGGTTGGGGAACGTCACTGATAGCCCCCAGTTTTGTATTGTTTCTCGCTGTTCGTGTTTTTGTCTGTCTTGCATTCTCTATGCACTAAACGACCATGACTTTGTCTGAAGGTTGTTGTTTTTTGGTTGTTGTTTTTGTTGTTTTTGTTGTTTTTTGTTTTTTGTTTTTTGGTTGTTGTTTTGGTTTGTTTTAACTTTGGATTAAAAAATTATTTTTTTTCCTTTTAAGTTAAAATGAACATTTTTTTTAGGGGGGGGGGGGGAGTGTCAGCTGTCACCATAACCGTTTTCGTCTGTTAGTGCCCCACTCTTTGCCACAACAAGGCTCTATCTTACCAGGTCTTCTGTTGTTGTTGTTGTTGTTGTTGTTGTTGTTGTTGTTGCTGCTGCTGCTGTTGTTTTGGTAAGTGTTTTACAGGGCTCTCAACTGCGTAAAACCATATGAGTGCTCGGGACTCATTAAGCATTTTCAGTTTGGTAGAAATTAGTTTTAAATTTTGCCTTGGTGGCGGCCGAAGTCTACTCTTATCGATTTTAGGACCACCAAGAGATCTTTAACGTACACAACTTGAACACGATACCTCCGAGATTGTTTGCCTTTATCCGAAAAGGCTAGGTGCTAGTTCTTATAAATCATCAGATCAAGGATGTTGCTGAAATACAGCAGTAAGATGAAGCTAAGAACTAGCAGAAGAAAGGCGGCAGAAAGAGCCAGGAGGAGGAGGAGGAGGAGGAGGAGGAGGAGGAGGAGGCAAAGGTGGCTGGGGGCAAGACGACAGAACATGATTAGAGAGCAGGAAAGGAGGGGAAAAGAGAATACTTTAGAGAAAACAATTTTCCATCCCTGACAAGTTTCGAAACAGGGATTTATTGAATGAGAGGCGGACACTGTACCTCTAGACCATGAGACCCCCTCCCCTTTCCCTCCACCACCTATCCCACATTTGCCCCGGTCTATGCTTTGATGAAGTTGTTATTCACAGTCGGATTTTGTGTTTTCAGTGTATGATGCATGTGTTCCCCTATTTTCCATTGCCTCTATCTTGCCATGCAGCACAGTAGTTGTCATCAGGTCCGTTTATATATATATATATTATTTTGTGTGCGGGTGGTTAACATGTGCTCTGGTGTGGTTTGCTCCTATCTATCGTACTAATCCCTCCTCCTCTGTTGAGTTTGTTACTCTCTTTTAACACCAATAATCTTCGGCATTTAGTAGATAGCATTATTTCGCATAGCGCAAATTCCCCCTCAACAGCACAGTCTATGCGCTTTAGAATACGATTGTATTACTTTATTGTGTTGCAAGTGCCGTAAAACTCTCGCTTAACAAAAGCATACTAATATGTTTTGTGTGTTTCTCTTAATTCCCTAAGGGTATGTGTATGTATATATATATGTGTATGTGTATGTGTAAGTGTATATGTATGTGTGTACGTGTGTGTATGTGTATATTTGTATGGGTATGTATGTGTATTGTGTATGTGTGTATTCCTAAAGGTGTGATCACTGTGCCTGGGGCGGGCGGCGGAATGCTGTTGGGAGGATATGTGGTCAAAAAGCTTCAGCTCCGATGTGCCGGCATCATCAAGTTGTGCGGCCTCGTCACAGGCCTCAGTCTCCTGTTGGCGCCATCTTTCCTGACCCGGTGCCCGGACGTTGTGTTCGCGGGGGTCAGTGAACCTTACCCCAGGTATCCGGCGCTATTTGTTTGTCTATTGTTTGTTTTGTTAGTATTCTTCATTTGGTTGGTTGCTCTTTTGTCCTGTTTTGTGTGTTTGTGTGGGAGTTTGTTTTTTGTTGTTGTTGTTGGGGCG